AAGAAGTTATAAAAACTCATTGTGGATTATTTTATTTGCATGCTCCTGTAATAATAGTCAGATTATTCAAATTATTCAAATTACAAAAATAGATGACTTATTAAATGCCTTGTGTCCCACAAGTCAAATGGCTCTGTATATACCCAGTGCTTACTAACAAATGATACGAAGGGACAAAATGAAATCCAATCCTTTGCAGAATTCTGGCTCTCAGCCCGTTTTTGTAACTTTGTAACTTCTCCTTAGAGGGCAGAGTACAACCCTAGGAGATGGTAAACACTGTATGCTCTTTTTAATGATGCATCAGAAACACTTCAAGAACAGGTTTGTTGCAATCTCTCTGGTAAAATGTGTGCCTCAGCTGAAATGTTCATGATGCAAAGCTTTTCCACTATGTCTGCCTTGCCTAGTAGAAGAAAATGCAAATTTTGCTCCATGGAAACCTTATCCAATATAAGCTCAATTAGTATTGCTACAAAATATCAGCCTTTTTAAGAGTGGCAAACTAACAGCATGCTATTAGTTTCTAATTAGCTCTACTTTCCAGTTAAGGTAACCCCAGGATCCCCAAAAGAGTTACTCAAAATTAGTGCCTCGGTCAACACTTTTGAAAAAGACTTAATTCCTAGTTTGCAAACTGAGGCCATAAGGGAGATCTCTGATTTCCCGAAAGTCCTTCCTGTCCACCCTTTAACTTCCCCTTAAAGTGTCCTCTCTTAAAAAGGGCAGGGAGGGAATTCTGTCCTTCAGTTTTTAAAGATCTTGACCTTTTTTAAACATATAAACAAAGACTCGCATTTTCATAGCAACGTGATTCAAAGCTACGTTGCAACCAATTAACCACCACAGCATGACAGTCCTAATAACAGACAGTTTAGAGAAGAACTTTTGATTTAGAAAAACACTGCTTCCGGATTCAATTGTCTGCAGTGGAAGAGTAGATTTACTGTTAAGCTCTTGTTAATTCTCAGCCATCACATCTAATAGGCTGGTAGCCAAACTAATTGGCATTAGAGATAGGATAGAGAATAAACATTAATAGGCTAAAATGTGCTTCATTTAAAAAAAAATCATCCTACTTAGAATCATAGAATATCCTGAGTTGGAAGGGGCCAACAAGGAACATCAAAGTCCAACTCCTGACTTACTCCGATACTTACCGCTAGTATAATGAACTTTCAAAAATTATAAACAAAATTACTTTCAAGTATACAATGTTAATAAATGCTTGTGGTAAACAAATCTGTCAATTTAGCCTATATTTGCCTACCTATTTTTGCTATCTTTAGTGCACATCCATACATATGCCCTTACTTGTACTGTCTGCTCTTTTTAGGTGCATAGAACACACCTGCACTTTACAGATGTTGTATAAAATAATGCATTATTTATAGCTAAACTTTGCTTTGGATTAATTATGAATCAGATTGCGACTGTAATGGGACTGCTTAAATGTGTATACTTAATTATAAACAAGTATAATAAACAAGTATGTGCTAGACTGTGACCTGAACAATCAAGTCAAGCAATTGAAATTATCGCCAGAATTGTAGAGATACTTACAATAATGAAAAGAAATATTCCAAGCAGAGATGTCAGAAAAGCAACATTCAAACAAGATAATTGCTAATTAAAGTTTTTCATGTTTGGAATAAAAAGTATTCTGTATATTAGTAATAATCTAATATTTGGCTTATTTAAACACTGGTCATTTAGTCACTAGTTTGGTGTTTTAACACAGCCTGTTTCTTAGCATGCTTCTACTGCCACACTATTTGAGTTAGAAAAGTTCAGTGGGTAGTATTAGCTTAGCTGTGGAACTCTGATATTTAATAGGATATTTTATGTAAATAGCTAATATGTGCGCATGACAGCAAGTTCTCACAGTTAAATATTGTCACAGAAGTGTCTTTTGATTCCATTATAATCCTTATTTCATTTAACAATTAAACAAATAGAGCCTGCTGAGGCCACTATTGAATAATGATAACAAAAAAGTTTCCTCACCCTTTGATCTTCAAAAAGTTGTGGCAAAGAAAGTATATGGTTTACATTGTATTACATGAACTGCTCTGGAAACCTGAGCTCACAGGGATAAACAAGGTCTCTACAGAGTAGCTCAGTCTCGATGGCCATTTCTGGGATTTGGTTTATCAGAAATGATCTGTTTTGTATATGAAAATATTTTTCAACTTAATGCATTCAAAATGCATCTGAACAAACACTCTGCAAAGGTAAGGAAGTTCTGTAAAACAGTATGGGGCAATAATAAAACTCAGTGAATGGTTGTCAGAAGAAATCTCAAATTTGAATAATTAATTATTTGCTACCTTCATCTTTCTGGTGCAACTTTTCTAGTTTAGTGTCTGACACAATGTTTTTATCAGTAATTAAATTTCAGTATTTAGAATAAGCATAGTGTTGGTACTATTATATTGATTTGCAGGCATGTGTCCTTAAGATTAGATTCAGAAGTTTTACTCATTCCTTTGTATTGAATCATCACCTTTACAGTCAAAAGTCTGGCAATGTCTGCAGGTCTTGATATCATTCATTACAGAACTGCCAAGGCTAAAGTTAAATGATTTCTTTTTCAGTGGTGTTATCTTGTTTTTATACAGGTTGGACAGATAAGCAGAGTTGAAAAGGGAGGGTTTTTTTCATCTTTTTTTTCTGAGACAGAACAGATAAAATTTTGCTAAAGGCCTTAAAACTGGTGTTCTAGTATATGCATCTTAAGTAGCAAAATGACAGAAGCACACATCTTCCTCACCAGTTTACTGGCAACACTCTGTGACAAATGATTCTAATAACATTTTGTACCTGTTGCATATAAATCTCATGCTCCAGAAGAAACAGTGATGATCTTAATGACAAAGTGTCTCCTGTAGGGATGGTTTGTGATGTCCACATATGGAGATACAATACTGAGCGTTCCTTCAATATTTAAGGCTGACTATTCCTACTTAAATGAAAGGCAAGATGTTCACGCAAAAGATGTTCAGATAAGGGCAAATGGTAAAATCACTGTATTTCCAGCTAATGGAAGACACAGACTTTGGCTCTTTCAGATCTTAAGTTTAATATTAATGCCCCTCGGTGTTTACTGCCTAAATCCTGCAAATGTCTAGGTTTTCATTTAACCTTAAGCCTTGTTAATAGTTTGATTAAAATTGGGACCATATATGAGTGATGTAGCAGTGTCAGGTTCTGAATTTCGTTTACCCACTACAAATGATACTGAATAAGTAATATCCTCCAAATAGCTTCATACTTTCTTCCAACCTGGATCATAATTTATGGTCCTTTTTCACTGCAGTAACAAACACCATTGTCCAGAATATTGTCTGTGAGTCAAGGACCAGAGATCAACAGTTTATTATATGTGATTATTATGCACCTGAAGCAGATTTATTTTGCAGGAGTGGTGTGGCATTTCCATGACACAAACCTGAGTAGCTTCCTGTATCTTAGTTCCTAGACCTCTCACCTCAATGGTGAGTTGTTTGGTCCTTTCCTTGCTTCCAAGATGACTATTTAATAACACCCATGAGCAGATTACTGCTAAACTGCAGTGGCATTCCCAGTTGTGCTCCATCTTCTTTCTGGCCCAGTGTCTCTTGGTTTCCTTTCTATAGCGTGGCACATCTTCCCGAGGAAAACACTCACACCAGAACCAGTCTATAAGTTGGCAGCTTTTTAAATGGCAGTGGGGACACAGATGTGAACCCCTTCAGGAAGAGGACATTGAAATAAGGGCTCTCATGCTCCAAGTGATCTAATCAGTAAACACTGTGGCTCTCAGTGTTTTGGAGGAGTGAGCTGTCTCTTTGTGTTCCGAAGGAGAAGATGGAGGTGCCTCCCCTTTGGAGACAGCTCAAGGCAGTGGGCCACCAAGGTATGGTGACACTGCTCTGCAGTCCATGGTAAAGCCCTGGAGCCAGGGAACAGGACTGAAAATGTACCCTTTACTCCAGTGTTTCCACCATGATACTCTGCACCAGCACACTGCCTTATTTTGGGTATCTAGGTGTCTGACCTCTGGCACCAAGGCTCCAGACACAGCGATCTTCAGAGGACAAATGGGGGAACCTAAAAGAAAAGTGTAGTGCTTTCGTTCAACTATAATTCGAGTCGCGCTCTTGCATTAAGCACTTCAGTCAAATGCTGAAGGTCAGATGGTGTGGGCTATCTTAGGTGTCTCTTTGCTCAGCGTGACTCTTTGCACTCCTATTTATGTGATTCTCAATTTTGCCTGTGCTCTCAATGTCTCCCTGACTGACTCAACTTCTGAATTTCAAGCAGAGGGCCAAGTGCCTGAACGGAGGCATTTCATTTTCCTTTATTCGACTTAATCGTGAAATATTAAGTTCTTGCAATATGCAGCCATGTCAAGAGGTAAAAATAAACATGTAGCGCTCTGAATTATTTCTCGTACACCAAGTCCCTCCTGTTTGTCTCACAGCAAACCTAAACGAGTGTAATGGGGTATATGAGGGCTCTCCAGCCGTGCTTGCTGTGTTGTGGACACAGGGCAACTCAAGTTACAGTTTCCGTTAAGCTTTTAATATTCCAGCATTCCATCACCTTCGTTCCTTTATTAAGTAATGGCACTAACTGGGCTCTCATCGGGCTGTGAGCTGCCGGCAGGGCGCAGGAACGCTCGTTGTGCTGCCGCCCCCCGCCCTTCCTGCGCGCCCCGGCGGCCGCGGCCCCTCGGGTGGGCAGGGCGGGTGAAGGGCGCGAGGCCGCGACAAGAGGGGTGGAAGGAGTCTTCGCCCGGGCCGGAGAGGAGCGCGGAGTGGAGGATGCGCCGGGCGCGGGGAGCCGGAGAGCGGGCTCTTTTGTGTCAGCCCGGAGCCCGGGCAACAGGCGCAGGACGGGAGCGTGCAGAGGAATCCAGCGGTGAGCGCGGGGCGCGGGAAGGGGCGGGCGCGGGTCCTGCCCTCCGGCGGAGCGCCCCCGAGCTGCCGCAGGGGGGTGCTGGCGGCGGGGCCGCCCAATCCGCGCGGGGCCGGCCCCTGTGACTGGCGGCGCCGGGGAGGGGGGCGAGCCTGGATCGCTCGCTCTGCCTTCCCCGGAGAGTTTCCTCGCGGGGGCGGTCGGGACTGCTTCTCCCCTGGGCTCTGCTGGTGTTTTCCCGCTGTTGCCGAGCATTGGGCCGGGGAAGGCGGCGGCGGCGGCGGCGGCGGCGGCGGCGGCAGCGGCAGCAGCAGCAGCAGCAGCAGCAGCAGCAGCAGCAGAAGCAGAGAGCGAGGAAAGCAGCCACATGAATCAGTTTCTCTCTGTATCCGGCTCCGGGCAGAGGCGGCGACCATAGCGGGGAGGAGGGGAGAGGGGGAAAAGCGGCTACTGCAGCGGCGGCAGCCGGGGGCTCCCCTCGCCGCCGAGGTGGGTAGCGGGGCCGCAGCGTGCGGGAGGGGCGGTGCGGTGCGGGGGCACCGCGAGTAGCGGTGCGGGGTCCGGAGGTGTCTCTGCCCCGGCCGGCTGTCGCCGCTGTGGGGCGGCTGGATGTCGGCGGGCAGCGGGAGGGAGGGGACAAAAGTTGCTGAGGGCGACTGGGGGCTGCCCCGCGGGGCCGCGGCGGCGCTGCTCGCGTTCCGCCGCTTCTTACTGTCGCCCGGGGTCGAAGAGAGTCTGCGACGGATCGTCCCCGCCGTGGGTGGGACGGGCTTCCCCCCGGGCCGGGGCCGGAGGGTTTGGGGCGTGTTGTTCTGCAAGTTCTCTTTTCGCTCCCGCTTCAGGGATTGTGGGTGTCGCTGTGTCAGGGTGAGAAAATACCGCCATCAACGCCTCTCGCTTTCCGCGGCTGAGCAGCCCCAACGGCGTAGTTCCTCCGGTCCCCTCCAGCCTCCCCCGCCCCGCGGGGGCCGGGGCGGGCCGTCCCCTCTCCCCGCGGCGGGGCTGCGCTCGCTGCCCGCCCGGTGCCCCCGCGGCGGGTCGCGCCTTTTCCCCCGCGGGGCGCCCGGCGGGGACCCCGCGCAGCCCCTCTCCTCCCACGCGCGCTCGCGTGTGCGCGCAGGGCAGCGCGCCGCGGTGCGACGCTCCCCCGCCTCGTGCGAGGGCAGCCTGTCACGTTTCGTCTCCTCTTCCCTCCCCAGGTGCTGCGGGACTGGTGCTCGCCGAGCCGCCACCGACACATTTCGTCCGTCCCCCCTCCCCTCCTGGAGCTACGCGGCCTCGGCTGCCAAATGCGCGGAGGGGAGAGACTTTGGCTCAAAATCCCCCGATCGTAAATAGAGAGAAAGCGGAAGGAGAGCCACCGCCGAGCGGCCGCGGGAGGAGGGGAGGGGGGCAGCGGCGGTGCTTCTGCCGTAGCCAGGGAGGCTGATGGCGGAGTTTGGCAGCGGTGGCGGCACCGGCGGCGGGGGGCTGCCCTCCTCCCCGGGGCCGCTTCAAGGGAAGGTGGCCTTCAAGGCAGGAGATGGGGAAGGAGGAGGAGGCGGCGGCGGCGGCGGTGGGAGATCCCGCTTTGACAGTGCGGGCAGCCGGGTCTCCAACGGGGACTGTGCACAGCCGGGAGCCGGCGAGGAGCCGGGATCAGCTCCTCCTGCAAGCCCGGAGAGCAGCAGCAAAGAGAAAGGATTTTCCACCAGTCAACAACGAGAAGGCAAACCCGGCATCCCCCGGAGGAGCAGCATAATTAAGGTAAGAGCTCTTGCTTCTCCCCATCGGGGTCTTGGGTCTTTCTCTGTGACAGGGGCAAGGAGATGCAGGCGATAGATTTAGCTCACAGAGCCTTGGCTCTAGATGAAAGGACAGGCGGCTTTTTTCTTTCTCTTCTTTTCCTCTCCCCCTGTGGTGAGGAGACTTGATTTTTCCTTTGTCAGAAGTGGACAACAGTGAGAGGATAGCTTTGTATACATCCATGCCTGGGGTGGAGGACATCGTGCTTTGAGATTTATTAAAGCAGAAGGCTCTAACTCCTCTTAGAAAAGGCGAGAGAAACTAGCTGGCTTGTGATAAGACAACATGGGCACCAGCCTGGCAGGGAAAGATGTGAATTGCACAGTATGCTTGTTATTTGGGATGCACCTGTGCAGAGCAATTTTGTGGCTCCATTGGCTTGTGTGTGTGACAGGCACACAGCAGGTGATGAGAGATTCAGGATCTCATTGGGCTGGGGGTGGGAGAAGGTAGAATAGGGAACATTCTTCTTGTTAAAAGTGACAGCTCGTTTAGCAGTAGGCTGTGTTGTACTTCACTTATAGAAACATCTTTATTTATACTTAGCTCTCCATATTCTGAACGCTAGTGTTTCAGTTTGAAAAGTAGGGGGAGCATCAATGGTAGAATGTAGCTTAGGCAAAAAAGGAATGGGATTGGGTTTTTTTAATACAGTTATTTTTACAAGTGAAGTTGTTCTCTTTCCTTGCATCTACGGTTCCTGAAAGATGTTTTGGGTCGCCTTTCCCAACTCCAGTGAAAAGGTTGAGAGAACATAGAGAAATTGCTCCATTGGTATAATAGCTGTACTAGCTGTAAAATGAAGCACAATTTCAAGTACTTAAGATCCGAGTTTAATCAAGATCAGCTAGACCTACATTAAGCTAGATGTTTTCTTAGATATTTATATACTTCCAAAATCAGCTGTGGTGGGCTGACCTTGGCTGGATGCCAGACACCCGCCAAAGCTGCTCTATCACTCCCCCCTCAGCTGGACAGGGGAGAGAAGATGGAGAAAAGATAGAATGAAAGGCTTGTGGGTTGAGATAAGGACTAGTAGAGATCCCTCAGCAATATACTTGACGTGGGGCAATTAATGTATTACCAATCAAATCAGAGTAGGATGAGAAATAAAACCAAATTTTAAAAACACCCCCCCTTTCCAGCAGTGCAGGGGGACAGGCGATGGGGGTTGCGGTCAGTTGTTTCAGCTTCTCCTTCCTCCTCGGGGGGAGGACTCCTCACACTCTTCCCCTGCTGCATCGTGGGGTTCCTCCCGTGGGAGGCAGTCCTCCACGAATTTCTCCAACGTGAGTTTTTCCCACAGGGTGGGTGCAGCTCTTCATGAACTGTTCCTGTGTGGTTCCCCCGCAGGGTCACAAGTCTTGCCAGCACACCTCATCTGGTGTGGGCTCCTCATTTTCCATGGGTCCACAGGTCCTGCCAGGAACCTGCTCCAGTGTGGGATTCCCACAGGGTCACAGCCTTCTTCAGGCATCTGCCTACTCTGTCATGAGGTCCTCCACGGGCTGCAGGCGGATATTTGCTCCACTGTGAATCTCCATGGGCTGCAGGCTGCCTGTTTCACTGTTGTCTTTACCATGGGCTGCAGGGGAATCGCTGCTCTGGCACCTGGAGCACCTTCTCCTGCTCCTTCTTCACTGACCTTGGTGTCTGCAGAGTTGTTTCTCTTGTATATTGTCCCTTCTCTCTCTGACTGCTATTGCTTCCTTCCCCCTTCCTAAATCTGTTATCCCAGGGCACTACCATGGTCACTAATGGGGCCAGCCTTGGTCAGCCTGGAGCTGACTGGTATTGGCTTTGTCGATCACGGGGGAAGACTCTAGCAGCTTCTCACAGAAGCTCCCCACATGGCCTCCCTGCTACCAAAATCTTGTCACGGAAACCCAAGACATTCCACCTCTTGCCTCTGTGAATTACGTATTTAAGGATTGTCATTAAAATCCACATTCATCACACAGTCTTCACAAACTTCAGTCACGTCAACAAAAAAAGAATTCCCCCCACCAAAATCAAAACAACACCATCACAACACCAAACAAAAGGGGACAGTTTGCACACACAATCCACCCCTTGTCTCTTCACCACAGTTAGAACAGAAATTTCACACAATCTGTGTTTTACCTGTTACCTCTGTTGTTCTGATGATTGGATGATAGAAAAGCGTGTGGGATTTCAAGACTAGTAGTGTATGGAAAGTTGTGTTACCGTCTCCTGAACCTTGCTGTAAAAACGAAGGGGAGGCAAGGGCAGTGAGCAGTGGAACACAGTTGACAGCCTGCACCCACCCTTCCTGTTTGAGCAGTGATGCTGGGCGTGTACGTGTGGTGTGTATGTGTGTGTGTTAAAGAAATTACAACAATGGACAAGGGGCAGCCGAGCTTGGTTTTGGAATGACTTAATATTTGCTGGATTTGCCAGTGATTTTTTTTACAGGTCTGATACTTATTAACACTGTTTTGTTTCCTCTGTGGTAGCCCAAGAAAGACAGAAGTGTTATTTGCAGTGTATATCATGCCACTGTACTACTTTGTAGCGTGTGATTTAATTATACAGCAACCTTCTGCCTCTGGGGACCAGGCAAGGTCGCAGAGCCTAGGGATTCATGATATACTAAAATCAAGAAGCATGAGATAAGGAAATAGGTTTTGAATTGCATTTCATGCATACTCGAATCAAGGTTCTTAGTTTCTACAGAAACGGTAGTGCTTTGGAATAAAAAATTGTTCAACTTTTTGCTGTTATTACCAATGAATACCATTTTGCAGATGTGAACAGTGATCTGTTTAGCAGCCAAGAACCGATTACTAAAACTTTGTGTTATCATTTGAATAATTATCACGAGTGGAAAAATGTGACAACATTACATTTAAAGTTGTGCGGTCCATATTTATTTCAGATATGACTGTTAATACTTCTGGGAAAAATCAGTTGTCTTCATATATTCTGAATATTATTCTACCTGCTTAGTTCAGCAGTTCACAGGTGGTTTGAATTCGATTGTGCTGATGTCTGGTTTTCTTTATGAAACCTTTTGGAACATCTGGCACAGGTAGTAAACCTTAAGATGCTTCTTGCCTGCTCTTACAGTCTGTAAACAGAGAGGAAAAAGTAAAATGTCATATATTTTTGAAAAATGTTTTAATAATTTATATCAGGAATGTAAAACTGCTCTTAAAGAAGATACGGAGTAAGCTCAGGAAACAGGTCTGTTCCATGCAGGTGTCGATTTCATCATTCATGCAAAACATGACATTGTTAGTTGATCCGTAAAATGCACCTTTATGGAAAATCTAATACTTTAAATGTTGTGTCTGCCGATTACTGTGTGGGCTTTTGAGTCGCAAACAAAAAAATTGACATTTGAATGAAGTTCCAGTTCAGATTAAATTCTTATAGAACCACATGTTTGTGCATGAAAATCAGGAGCAGAGATATGTATTTTATTTTGGTTTCAGTCTGTGCTTCCATTGGTCGTCTATTTTCATAACTCTGAGAAGAGCACTTGCTGCCTTTTTTCCCTTTCCGTTCTTACTTGCAGTCTCTGTTCTGTCTCTTTTTCTGGTAGCTCTATATTTTTTTCTGTCTATTTTTATTAATTTTGTGTGCCTTCATCAATTTGTCTTTTTCTTGTTTGATACAAGATGATATATGAGTTTGAAGTGTCACCTAGGATGATGAGAGGTGGTAGGATTACTACTACTGGAAAAAACTAATACAATCTTCATACATAGTAGTTTCCTTGGCCTTTCACTAATATATAAACTGTGTTTAGGCTGAAAGGATTAAAGATTGTACTCTTCATTTCTAGTAATTTTTATGGAATAACCTATTTCATTGCTTGCCTTTGAACCAAATTTGAGGGCTAGGACCTACATACCTGTGTTTATACTTTTTCCCTTTCTATTCCTTACTCTCTGTATTTATGAGATTCTGATTTTTCAGGAGGTGGTAGTGATGATATGTTGTGCGTTCATGGGAATTAGGCTCTCAGCTTTCTGATTTGTGAACTAATTTATGTGCTACTTATTTGAATGTAGTGGGTTTTGTGGTCAGTGTTTTATTTTTCCCTAGTGTTTTCCTTGGTGCAACTAGCTATGGATTCCTATTATGCAATTTCCTACATTTCCTATAATACTCTGTAAAATGAATTTACATCTTTCAGTTCAAAGTGGATTTAAGCATCTTGTGAACTTTTCTTAGCTGTTCTGACAGTTGGCAGTGAGCTTGCTTTATTTTTGTGTGAGGTTCCTCCATGCCTCTCTTCGGGAGACTTTGAGGTGGTAGGCATTTGAGAATCTTTAAGGCAGCAAATGACTTGTGGTGTATGGGTATGTTTCCTCAGAGCTGCTTGCTTCCAGGGGTGTCCAGTAAATGCTTACAGAACCTCTTGGTTTCTCAAAGCTATAACCCTAGACAGAGAGAGATCCAGGAGGACAGATATGTCTTTATTAGGAGACAGGTTCCAGTAATAAAATGAGAAGAGAGACACTTAGGAGAGACTGCAGTTATTTAGGAAGACAACACAGAGAAATATGTGGAGAAAGGTGGCTTTGGCATTCTGTGAGCAGGAATGTTTTTATCAACATGTGTGTGGAAGCAAAGTCCGGGGTGTTTGTTTTCATATACCAATGCTGATCTCAGTACTGGCCAATAAATTTCTTGGCTGATAACTTAAACAAATTTGTATCTCTCTTTTTTATTCTGGGTATAAAGTCAAGCTTTCATTTTGGAAAGTCATACACTTGCTGAACATTGTCAACTCCTGAGTTTCAAAGTCTGTGAGAAGAGAGCAGCCAAATTTAGCAGATAGATCTTCAAGGGTTTAATTTTCATCAGAGCTTTGCTTTTAAAACTAAACGTGCTTATGTCTGTATCTTTCTGTCACATACAGCATATACATCAAGATCTTTTTTTTTCTTGTTGTAATACCAGTCTATGTTACTATCTTGTTCAATCTT